TGTATAGTTCTTCCCACTTTGTCTTTTTTACAGTATGTTTCCATTGCTAGGTAAATAGACTATGTATAGTTTCCTTTGTTGTCTGTATGTAAGTACCACTATTGACAGTACAGTAGAAATGTGAGTACAGTCTGATCTTTTGTTTCGATTCTTCCATATACTGTAACGTGGGGCGATGGTGATTGGTTAGATGAGGTTAGATGGAATCATTCAGAAAATTATCTATTCTTACCATGTAAATTACTGTAACACCTGGTTGATGCACAATGGTTCGCAAGAATCACTTCTTTTTTTTTACCGGAGGGACACTGTAAATTATGACACACACCAGTACGGTAATTTAGTGGTTTCTAGTCATCAAAACCTGAGTTGTTGAGTATAGCTTACAGTAAATAACAAAAACTGAGTATGATGTTCTACTGACAACATGACTAATAATTTTGCCTGTCACGTTCACATTGTTGAGGAAATGACATGAGAGTCTGCTGCCTCTGACACAATGATTGATGAAAAAACACACTTTTGCACGATAGACAAAGCATTTTGAGCAGGTGACGCGCTTTTTCCGGTTATCCACTATGTTGTGCAGTTTGTACGTGTTGTTTTGAGAAATGCACTGCAAACTTCAATTCTGTTGTGAGAAATGAATGAAAGCGATAGAGAAAAACTTTAATAATCTATGTGATTAGATTATTTTCAGCTTTAGAGAAGAACTGCTTCATTATTTGATCACAGCTTGGAAGGCCACACCTGTTGCTTCTTAGTTGCTAAAAAAGTAAAAATCACTGGAGTGGCACTGTTATTATCTATATTCTAAAACTGAGAAGTCACAGGTTTTCGATATTGAATATTTCAGTGTTGTTTGTTTCAGCAGCTGCAAATGGCAACAGTCCAGTTCATGTTTCCTTTTTCTCACTTCCTCCTGCGGTCAGGATGGGCTGTAAGGAGTCCATGCTAAGCAAGGGGCTGAGTGGAGGTGTGGAGGGGAAGATCAACCACCAGCCTGTACGTACCGACCAAACGCATTATGTCAGAGACCCAACCTCCAATACAAACAATAACATAGTAAGTGGTCAGACAGCCGGGCCGAGCAAAATCAGAATTTTGGTAATAGATGATGAGACAATTGTTGTTTAACAGACCTTCCCTTTTTCACAAAATGTTGAGAAAACTGACAGCCTGTGAAAGGTTTGTTATGCAGAAGCAGCTTTGTCATTTAAATTAATGATAGATAGATAGATAGATAGATAGACAGATAATTCCTGAGGTCTCTTTTATCATGTAAACTTTATGTTGTTTCATATGAACACTGTTTGTCTGCCTTTGCAGAATAATTCCCTGTTACCTGGTCAGATGTTCCAAAAGATGGAAGGTATGCTTGGATATTAATTATGACACCTGTTAAAAATAATTGGGTATGCTAGTAGCAAAGAACAGTGTATTAACATTATAGGATTCAACGTTTTCAAGTCTATTTGTGCACAATATACCAGTATACACATTGAAAGAGTTACTGGTTACTTGAACTAATTTCATGCTTCATTCTGGTCATGAAATAATCTCTTCTATCACTCCAATGTAAGACATGGAGGAAAAAAAATCCACAGTCATTGATTTTTGCAAAAAGAGTAAGATGTTTTGGTTAAAAAGTTAAAAAAAGCTAAAGTGAAGCTCACTGTAAGATGAGGTTTCAGCAGTCTGACTTGGCCAAACTACAGTATGTCGTCATAATCCAAAAGTAACTTTAGTACAAAATTCTTTCTTTGTGTCACTGCAACTGAAGAAATTACTCCTTGTACGGTTTGGTATTTAGAGGATGGTAACATTGTTACAACTCAGTCTATTAAAACCTCACATTAACTTTGGGCTGAATTTAAAAAGCAAACAAAAACTCCACAGCTGAGCTTTCTTTGTTAAATTACGCAAAGCCACATTACATGGAATTTAAAATGAAAATACTGCAAAAATGTCATTAATAGCTTCAAAAGCTACATAAAGATATTCAGGTATGTGTGACTTACTTAGAATTAAAGTGATATTTATTACTGACGCAGTTGGTGATTGTATATTAGCTAGATAGTGTTAACTTACTTAAAGCTATAGTATGTAACTGTTGCAAATATTTTTGTTGTAGAAATCTGCTCCAAAACTTGTCTTAATGTGGAGAGAAGCTGTCAAAGCCTCCTGGGACCCAGACTCACTGAACAGCACTGGCAGCAGTGCAGAAATAACAGCTTCTAAAATGTTGACTGGGACTGACCTCTCTAACCAATCAAATTTTCAAGTATTTCTGCTTGATCAGTTTTGTTGCATTTTCATTTACTGGGCAAATATATAAAGAGCTGGTCAGAGTGTGGTGGAGCATAGCAGATTGCAGTAGAGCAGAGTGGAGCAGGGACAGGGAGTGCTGGGCGGAGCAGAGTGGGTTGATTTGGAGGTTCCTTAAGGTACATATTGTAGCTTTAATATTTTGTGAGCCACCTGGCACATAAGTAGAGGACTGTGTCTCCTTCATAGACCCACTCATGCTGCAATATTAAAGTAACTCACCCTTGCTATTGATAATTAAACTGTGGGCCTATTTATTTTGTTGTACAATATTCACCATGTCAATATCTTTTGTTGTTTCAACTCTTAGAGCAAAGGAAGGTTGATAAAATAGTGGTCGGCCTTTACCCGTATGAAGCCACACACCCAGACGACTTAGGATTCAAGAAAGGAGAAAAGATGAGAATCTTAGAGGAGTGAGTGCTTGAAATGAAGGCTGGCCTGATTCAGCTCATTTATGTTTATGTTGCACTAAAAACTGAAAATTAAGAATATAATGTTTTTAGACTATAGAAAATTACTTTTTGTATTTTTAGGCTACCTACAGTAAAAATGCTATGTCAACACTGAGCATCATTGAACTGCTATTTATTGCAGACACGGTGAGTGGTGGAAAGCTAAGTCACTGACAAACAACAAAGAAGGATTCATCCCATCCAATTACGTTGCTGAAGTTAACACCATGGAAACAGAAGAGTGAGTAGCTGCAATCAAATGAATTACTTTTCCATTTTTTAAATAAATGGCTTTTGGTTTATTTTCTGAAACCATCTTAGAGGCATTCTATTTCATACTAACAAAATCACAAATGCACAATTGTACATTGTACAAAAAGTCTTCATCTGTGTGAATCAAACTGAAATCTACTATCCCTCATTAACTTCCCATAGTTTTTCAGGATTTGGTGCACCCAATTTATTATAGGAAAAAAAAAGGTAACTGTGTTAATTCAATATGTCCTTTTAAAATATTCCATATGTTTCCTGTTCAGGTGGTTTTTCAAGGACATTGCGAGGAAGGATGCAGAGAGACAGCTGTTGGCTCCAGCAAACAAACCAGGCTCTTTTCTTATCAGGGAAAGTGAAACATCAAAGGGTATGGAAATCACAACAGCACTGACATACAGGGATACACTTACAGTCTCCTTTTAACATATGGATTTCAGAATGTGTTCCTACTTCATTTAAACCATTCTGAGTCACTGGTCAACCTCTTTTTTTCTGCTTTTTTCCACAGGGAGTTATTCATTGTCCATCAGAGATGTGGACCCCCAGGGGACAGATTCAGTAAAACACTATAAGATCAGGGTGTTAGATAATGGTGGCTACTACATTTCTCCTAAAATTTCCTTCAATGACATCAGCAGCATGATCATACACTACCGCAGTGAGTATGACTGTGGCAGAAATGGCCTGCTAGCACCTTCATTAAAAAACTTGTTTCAGGTCCTTTGCTTAGTCCATGTACAAACAGAAATGTAACAGGTTTTATGAGGAGATAGGTGCTGAAACATTTACTGGTGAACAGTGATGAGGCACAGTGACGTCACTGATGCCACACTTCTGTAAGAACCAGGCTTGCTGCTACTGTTTCCTGTCTTTATGCTAAGCTGGGCTCACTGACTCCTTTGACCAAATCTTAGAATGCTATTGATATTATCATCTAGAAAGACCACTCAAATAAATATGTTGATTACCAAATAATATTAAACAATCAAAGCAGAGATATACAATAGTCTCGGTGTGTGTGTGTGTGTGTGTGTGTGTGCATCTTCCAGAGAAAGCTGATGGCCTGTGTCGTAAACTGGGCCACCCGTGTGTAAAACCCAAAGCTCAGAAGCCATGGGACAAAGACGCCTGGGAGATTTCCAAAGAGTCGATTAAAATGGTGAAAAAACTAGGAGCAGGGCAGTTTGGAGAAGTCTGGATGGGTGAGTACAGATAAGAACACATATTCAACCTTATATTAATCAAGTTAATTCAGAACAGCTTATATCATCAAGAGTAGACACAGGCAGTAGTTGGAAAAAGCTAAGCCTTCGCCCCACAATGCATCTCTCCTACATGTACTCCCTTAATGCATCCATGATGAGAACAGGCGGCACATTTCTGTGATAATTTGATACCAATAATTTTGTACTTCAGTAACATTTTGAATGCAGGACTTTTACTTGTAATTTGTATTTTTACTCTGTGATATTGTTAACTTTTACTTAAGTAAAGAGTTTGAGTACTTCTCCCACTGCTGGCAATATGTTTGGATCCTTTGCATTCATGAAAAAAAACAAATAATGCCAAACCAGGTGCTGCTGGTGTCACTGACAGTACGGCTTGTATGTGGAGGAAGGGAAGTTTTTAGCATCATGATCAAACCTGTCACTTCGATCATATGATGTTCAGTTTGTCCATAAAGCTGTAGTATGCAGGTCCTGAATGACAATGAGAGTGCTGAAGTGTTAAGTTTCAACTTTATTACCTAGGAAAAATACACCATGCTAGTCAAGCATTTCCCACAGAATCCTTTGATTTCATATTCAAAAATGAAAAGTTAAAAAGTTAGTAAACGTGTATGTCCAGAAATGTATTGCTATATCTTGGTATTTCCTGAGCTGTTACTCTGTCTGTTGTGCATTAAATTGTGTGCCAACAGCATTTTAAAAATCCTCTCCAAACTGGGTGAAATGCAGTGGCCATGCTAGCAGTTCTTTTAATAAAACTATAATATATATATACTAAAGCCCCTACACACCTGTGACCTGGTGGAACAAATGTTTTCACTTTGACTTCATCTTTTTAAGACTGTGTAGGCAGGTCTAAATATGTAGGTTAAATAAAGATGCCCTTGCATGGAAAGAATGTACCAAGTTTCATTATGAGAAATGTAGAATCCTGCTTTCTTTTTTTGACCAATTGTTGGAAATAACCCTCAGGATATCTCTGCCTGTACTGTGCTCATTTACGCAATAGTACATTGCTGTACAAAACATATTTTTGCATAACATAATGCAACAATTCAGCTTAATTGTTTTACACAAACATCACTTTATGTACACGTAAACTTGATCGGCTGCTGTGCATCAGTGACTGTGACATTGTCTCAGCTGTCACTGAACCTTAAACAGGTATTATACTGCTCTTCTGTTGTTATGGCAATTTCCATGCAACATGGGATAAAAAAAATTGGTAGCTCTTTAGATATCAGTGCATTCATGCCTCTGAAAACAGTGACTCTATGTGTAACGCTATTTGCTAAGTTTTACACATTCAAGTTAAAACAAAAATTGTTCAGACAGCAGCTGCAACATTAAAAAGAATCCTCTTTCAGAGTTGTAGCTTGTTTCAAACTGCCCAAGTAGTTGTGGTGGCAGAGAAATCACTGAAGCCACGCAACCAAGCCGATGATTCATTTCTTAGTAATGTACTAATGCTCTTTATTCCCCTCTTATCTCCTTCTTTTTCTGCACAAGCAGCTTACTACAACAACACAACCAAAGTAGCAGTGAAGACTCTGAAGCCAGGCACTATGACTGTTGAAGCCTTCATGGAAGAAGCCAACGTCATGAAGACGCTGCAGCATGAGAGGCTGGTGCGACTCTACGCTGTCATCACCAAGACAGAACCCATCTATATCATCACTGAGTTTATGGCAAATGGTAACTGTTTATCACATGCAGCTGATATTTGTGTCTGTCTAATGAATGCAGCAGTGCAATAAGTTTACATTATTATGTATTCATTGTAAGCATCTAGGAATGAGTCAGCAAATGTCAACAGTTACATGTAAACATTATTATATGTGACCATTCACTGATCCTTTCACAGGTTTTCTGTAGGCACTTTGAAAAATCTTCTGAAAAGCTGAACTCAACAGTCAACAGTGTTTTGTACTATAGATTAAAATCACAGCTAACATGGATCCACAGTTAAACATACAGTGCACACATTGGCACAGACATACGCTGAAACTGTGCTCCATTCTTCCTTGTTCTCAGGGAGTCTACTAGACTTCTTAAAGAGCGATGATGGGGCCAAACTGCAATTACGCAAACTCGTCGATTTCTCAGCGCAGGTGATTTTCAAATTCAGCTTTTTCTCACAGCTCGCTCTCCTCAAAGTTGTGAAATAGTAATTTCATCACTGTTTCCATTGGTTAACTGAAAAGCGGAACTGTAACTAAAAGTGAAACTCTGACTTAGGATTGCTAAATTCCACAGAAAAAAATCCAGTGTTGCTCTGTAGCTAAATCACAAACCTAAAGAAGGCTCTTATTAATTCATTATGAATGAATTATTAAATGTTTGCATAACCCTGTATCAGAGCCAAAAATTATTCTGACAGTGATAAGTAATTATTTATTATATTATTATATTTATGTTTTTCGTAGGCAGGCAGATAGACCTACCCCAAAATAAGGTAGAAGGTATAGCGCTGGATATCGATACTGATGTTGTGATTCAGTTCAAATTCAGTTCCATTTGATTTGATTTAGTTTGATTCATTTACTTCAGTCAGTGCATAAAATGCACCTCAGGCTCTTGGCAACTTTCATTTTTTTCTACATTTAGCGAGATCAAAACTTTCGTTTCCTTGGGTTGTTTTTCCTATCATCACTGGAAATCCCTAAAAAAACCATTTCAATATTACATCTTACTCAGCGTCTCAGGAAGATGTAAATTTGAAACATTTAGAATTTCTATTCCTGTTTCTTGTAGTGTTGCTAATCATGAAATAGGACGGAGCAAAGATACAACAGCATTGCCACACACTGAATTACAGTAATTACAATAAATAATGGATATTTATTGAGATTTAAGTGGAGCCGTTCCTTCACAATTTTAATAGTATTTTTTCTATAAATACTTCTAAATTAAATAATTATTTCCAAGAACCATCCTAGCAATTTATTAGGAAATTATAAGGACATTTCCAGCCTGTATAATAAAGCGTTAATGAAACCTCTGCACATAAGATAACTAGTTACTCGATATGGTTTTATGTCTGTAAATACAGGTTAAATGAAAAATGAAGCACAAGTAATAAAACAGTCTTGGTATTAAAATAAAAAAGAAAAACATGAACATGTTGTTATTAAGTAAAAATAAGTAATTGGTCAAAGATTTGTTTAGCTGGGTTTGTCCACGAGCTGTAAATGCCCATTGTTTCCAGTGATTATTTGTTTTATTAATTTGGTCATTAGGATGTCAAAAGTAATGATAATAACTTTTTCTTCTGAGCAACCATAAAAGACCCAATATGTTCTGTTCACAGCGACATGAAAGAGAAAACACTGGGAGCAGTAGATGCTAACGCTGTCTGATTAATCTGTCACATGTTAATTCACAGTAACAGTGGAGTTACAGTATAGGATCATGTACATTAATCATTTTGCTGTGCATATGCTATTATTTAGTCACTCTATTGTCATGATATATGTTATTTCTGCAGCATTATGTGCCACGCATTGTTTTTTTGTTGGCTTTTGCATTCTCGCTCACCTGCTTGAATGACATTGTGATGACGGTCACACAGTGGCAGTTTGTTTACCTTTTATTTCTCTTGTGCTGTTGCAGATAGCAGAGGGCATGGCATACATAGAGAAGAGGAATTATGTCCACAGAGACCTGAGAGCAGCTAACGTCCTGGTGTCAGACAGTCTCCTCTGTAAAATAGCTGATTTTGGACTGGCAAGAGTCATCGAGGATGACGAGTACACTGCCAGAGAGGGTAGTCATTGTGTTTGCATGTGAATGTGTTTCTGTGTTTGGTGATACATGTATGTCTCCGTTTTAGTCGTGAGTAACAGTTTTTTTCCCATCACTAATAACCTGACTATAGCTGGATCACTATGACACATGAAAATAAAAATCCCCTTTTGAGAGCTCAAAGTAGAATTGACTACTTATTTGAAAAGTCCACCTGACTGTCTGACAAGCCAGACATGTTTGGTTATATTTACCTGTTGATGATCATGTGTACACATAGTGTAACATAATGACCAACACCTCTGATGGCTACATGCACAGTCTGTTTTTTGTCATACTTCAGGCATAGGCCACTGATATAGTTTGGTCTACAACATTTTACAGAGAGATACTGTAGGTGAGAGAAAAACATGCTTCTCTGTGTCATAACTGATCACTGATCTGGAATCAGGACAGTAGGTTAAAATAACCAGTAAATGCAAGTGTATAAACCTTATTCCATAGATTACAATATGGATGAGATTTTTGGGAGTGTCTCCTTAACAGAGAGGAATTTGACACATTTTACAAACAGCATCTTTGATATCAATGTATAGCCTGAGAACATTCTTGTGTTCAAGGTGACATGAAGTCTGTGCATCTGTGTGTAACAGTGCGTGTCATCTGCAGGAACTAAATTCCCCATTAAATGGACTGCTCCAGAGGCCATACACTTCGGCTCCTTCACCATCAAATCAGACATGTGGTCCTTCGGAGTTCTGCTTTATGAAATTATCACCTATGGGAAAATCCCTTATCCTGGTAAATATGAGATGGACTAAGTGTCATTAGTTTTATGTGTGTTACTATCAAGAACTGATGTGTGTGATACTGATTGTGAGCGGTGTCATTCCAGTTGATAAAAAAGCAGCATACTGTAATGTTAGTACTGTGGTAGTGGTATTATTGTTGTAATAACAGCAGCATTGGTTCACCTGTACACTCTCATTATTAATAGTAGAAACTATTTTTGTTATAGCAAGTTGTGATTTTATAAAAATATAGAAGTAGTATTAATAGTATTAGTACACACAATTTTAAGTACTTGAACTTGAGTAGTTCAATTTGATGTAACATTAGAAAAATGTTCTACTTTTTACTCTGCTACATTTATTTGAGCACATTTGTCTTGCAGCAAATTTAGATTTTCATAAAAACATAAGAACATCTTATGAAATGTGAAGCACAGCCATAAAACAAACTCTCAACCAGCTGCATTTAAATACTGCTTACATATTAATGTATCAGTAATCTAATGATATAATCAGCATTATGAGCACTTTTTGTTCTGATAATTAATTTTGATAATGGACTTTTACTTAAATAACATAATGAAAGCAGAATTTTTACATTTAACTTTTTCTAACTAAAGCACCTAATTGCATTTTCCACCACTGTAACTATGTATTGAAGAGGAATATTGGCATGTTTTTATTGTTCTATAATTATATCTTAAAATGTTGCCTTTTATAGATATGAAATGAAAAGTTGCTCTGGGCTCATTTATCACATTGTAACATTGTAATATAGAACACTTATTTACCACCCTCTTTTGGTGAATTCTATGTGTAATGCATAAAAACAAGTTCTTTCATGGCACAGAGCTCACTGCCATTTGTGTGGTATTACAGTGCTGTACATGCATCCTTCTATTCCACTAGTGGCACCACTGCTCCTTTCACTACCATCATTTATTTTTCACTTTCTCCTAACAATACCTCAACCTTTGCACTGCTGCTACTAGTATTTACTGTTACAATTTACATATTATCATCCATGTGAGCACTTATAGTCATATAGTGTGCATTGTTCCACATACTCCTACTCACACTGTGCATCTCACTGTATTGTCCTCAGGTATGTCTAAAGTAGAAGTGATTTCATCAGTACAGCAGGGATACAGGATGCCCCAGCCAAACAACTGTCCCCGTGAGCTTTACGATGTCATGGTATGCTGCTGGAACAACAAACCTGAAGACAGGCCCACCTTTGAATACATGCAGAGTGTCCTGGATGACTTCTTCACTGCAACAGAGGGACAGTACCAGCAACAACCATAAAGAGAGACAGAGCCAGACAATCACTTCTAGAAAGACTGTGACAAAGACATTTCACTTTCACTCCAGATTATATTTGGAGCTACTTTAAATATGTGTATACATTTTTTATTTTGGTAATTTTTGTATATATCACCCGGTCTATATACATTTATAAATTGTAATTTCTTTCATATTTGCTGTCAAGAATGTACAGTATGCAAGTTCAGGTATACTGTCTACTGTATTGTGGCCACTCATAATGCAGTCTTTGTTCAAATACAGTATGAAGTTTATTTTCACCTGTAAACATAATCTGAGATACATAACAAATTAATTTCAGTAAAAAGTTATACTAGACAGTATTCAGACAGTGCAGCTCAATTTCCCCATAATCCCATTATACCTAAAAAACATATTGCCATTATAGCTTGACCCTCATAATATGATTGCTTGACCTCGAGAACCTACCCCTAGCATTAAGAATCACATTTATATCATTAATAGCTTGAAAGTTATTTGAGGAAAACAACAGAGTGGAATGATTACTAAACGCCAAGAATGGCTCTATAAATGTCCTGTGTAGACTGAAATAACTACAGTGCTTCATAGACACACACAACTCAAATCATTTGGCTGCACATACTGTAAGGCCACATAGAGTCAGTTGTCCAAAGTGCCTCCTGCTGCACTTACTAGTTCCACTCACCTTCACTCAGCACCATAGCTGTGTGCTTTTGCCACAAGGAGGCTCTGACATACAGTCATCAGCCTTTCCAATACTCATAAGGAATCCATCAGGAAAATTCCTGGGTCTGGGTTATGATCCTAACAGAAACCTTGTCTCCAAAACATTTCAACAAAATCGATTCATTAATTTTTAAGTTATGCTGCGAAAAAACCAACAAATACCCTCAGTGAAGGTAAATAAAAAGAGTTGAGGATTATATACAACAGAATGAAAAATGCTTAGTTGGGTTAATTACTCTCTACACTAAAGTCTCATGTCTAACCATATAAATATTTGGACCTAAAAGACTCCCAGTAAGGTGTTGAGCCACCATGTGCCACCAGAACAGCTTCAGTGCTCCTTGGTATTGACTTGCCAAGTCTCTGAACTCTAGTGGAGGATGAACACCATTCTTCCAGAAGATATTCCCTCATCTGGTGTTTGATGACGGTCACTCCAAAATCTCCCATAGTTGTTCAACTGGGTTGGGATCTGGTGACTATGAAGACCACAGCATATGAGTCGTATATTTTTCATACTCATCAAACCATTCAGTGACCCATCATGTTTTATGGATGGAGGCACTGTCACACTGGGAGACCATTCATTTATTTATTTAGTTTTGTCCTATAATTCGTCTATAGTGTGCAAAGGGACTAAACAAACAGAAGATATCATACAAAGAGGTTACAAATAGGACAGAGTATGGGGGGATCAGTGTCATGACTTTCTGCACAAACTGCCTCATAGAAAATCTGTTCATCTAAATTATGTGCCAATGGAAAAAGTTGTGATATTCCTTAATAACATTTCTATCTGGGTTAAGTGTGGAGGTACTAGGCTAGACCGAATCATGCTCTACAAGGTTATGACTAACCATTTTACATTACATTGCTAATTATCACATAAGCTGTTCTAAAAACGGAACACCTGTCCCCTTATGGTGCAGCAAACTGTGCTGATTCTGCCGATCACCTCTGAGTCCACTTGATATTGAAGTGCTATAGCTCTTGCCTGTTTTGCTCCTTTCTGGGGATACATGTGAAATCTGTTGTCATATTATTTCATCACTTTAAATATTTTCTTTTAAGATCAGATGTGCTCTCTTGATAGAGTAAGTTGCACTGGGTGTGACAGTGGGTGACTCTTGGTTTGCTAAAAGTAAAATTAACTATATTCTACAGTAAGTGTAAACTTATATAAGTATACAGAAGAAGGGTGCCACATTACTGTACTAGTTGAATGAATAAGTTGTGTGTTGGTTTTCACTTAATGATCATTTGAGCTGTATGCTATGTGAAATGACAATGTATACATTTTGTATGGGCTACAGATAAACTTATATACAGTAAATGTTATTCACTGTGTACACATATCACATATAAGAAACTGTCACTTTTACTTTGAGAGACCTATCCCAAGTGATTCTGTTTTCTGTTTTTCATTAATTTTTTTTTCTACTGTAATTGCTTTTATAGTTAACTTGCTTTGAAAATGTATGCAAGCAAGTAGCAGTACCATCAATACTCTGTTACAAGTAAAGGTTATGCATTCAAAATGTTACTTAAATAAAAATACAAAAGTATTAGCATCAAAACATTCTATAAGTACTAAAAGTAAAAGCAGTCATTATGCAGAATGGCACATTTTGCATTCATGTAAATCATATAATTGTATTAGAATTACTGACGCATTATTGTGTATATCACACTTTCCTCTGCAGCTGGTAAAGGTGGAGCTAGTCTTACTAGTTTACAAGTTTATCATTTGAATTATTGCTGGGCAGCTTGTGCATTTTCCAGAGATCAATAAAGATCTTATTATTATACATTTTTAAAAATCTGATTCTGAAAAGTAACTATTAACTGAAGTTATGAAATAAATGTAGTGGAGTAAAAAGTACAATATTTGCCTCTAAATATAGTAAAGTAGAAGTATTAAGTACCACAAAATGAAAATGTTAAACTAAATTAACTTTCTTTGGTAGCAAAAAGCACATGTGAAAGAAAGAATGAGTACATTTATATTTTAGTCATTCAACAATTTAACATGTTTCAGAATTAATTTAAAAATTTTCAATCTATATAACTTGTATTATATAAAACCAAATCATCTGGGCAGAGGCAAGTGGCTCTTACAATGTAAAAGGAAGTGAAGAATATCTTAATAAGTATTTTATTCTGAAACAATACCTCCGTTTTCTGGTTTGATCACGTGGTGTCCCAAGATGGCCGCGCCCTAGAGCGAAGCCAAAACAGTTGTGCAAGCGAATTTAAATGACAGTTGAGGATCTGCAGGTGGTAGATGAAATCTCCAGAGAAACAGCGGAGACACTGAGAAACTCTGTGACCTCTTCAGCCGTGTCGACATGAGTAAAAACGATATAAATCTGTAAGTATATTGGTTGTGACCCCGAACCTACAGTAAGTTATTTAAATAAAGCAAAAGGGAGCATTTTGGCTGCTGTCAGAACAGAGTGACGTTATGAAACTTGCCGGTGTTATGAAAACATTCATCCAGCATGCTGTTCACCGTTTTTAACCCCGTATTCTCAACGAAATAAGTTGTATTTCCCGGTCATCGGAACTATAGATTAACTCTGATCAGCGCAGCTCATTGTGGCGCACTTTGATGTAGAAGACCAGGTGTCTGCGTTTGTTTCCTGTTGTATTGAACCATCTATTCAACAGTGGGTTATTGAGGTTATAAAGCAAATTTAGATTTAAAAATTGTACATAACAGCAGGTTAGACGAATACCAGAGGAAGTGTGGTTTCACACGAATGTTTAATCCCTATAGGTAGGAATGCACAGTTAATAATTTGCCTTTGGTAGAATGCTGAATTGATCTTGAATGGACCTCACTGATTTATTCCTGTCTTAGTCCCTCCTTATTTTTTATTTATTTATTTGATATTTTTACTCTTTGTTTAGTTTCAGTTGGCTGAACCTCCAATGTGCCTTTCAGTGAAAAACATATACCATAACAGTTGTTACTGTTCTACTGGATGAATGCCAGAGTAAATATTGGATCACAATCTCTCCTGAATTATGCCAGATGAAAACCTATACTGTAATTATGATGGTGGATTTCTTATGCATAGCCTATATATTTCTTTCGAGGGTCTTATCAGCAGTGCTTAATGTGTAAAAGTTGTCCAAAGTTGCCTTTCATTCAACAGTTTCTCCGCTGCTGGAAGGTGATAAGAGAACAGAAGAGTGTACTCTCTCATAATCTTTCTGTCACTGACAGCTCTTCAGCTGGATGCCCAGTATGACTGTCAGGGCTGGGAGGGGCACATCTGTATTTTAGATAACAGAACAGTGCTGCAGTAGCCCTGGATCTGGTGGACTGTCAGAGGCTGCAGGCTGACTTCTGAACTCTATTAGGGCCAAAACTAAGACCAGTTTGAAATTTGGACTGTATCTGCATCATTCATTTAGAGTTAAATGGCTTCTCTGCACAAATATAAAAAGCCATTATATGCAATTGTAAACACAGATGAATTAGCTGTATTATTTAAAACTCTGTCCTCTGCCACTGAATTCTACAGCACTTCTGTCATGTGTTGCTTATGCTCATATAAGCTACATTTTGGTTCACCATCTGATTTTTTTTTTTTTTTTTTTTTGAATGATTTTTTTTTTTCAGCATAATTTGAACCCACAGCTGCACTTCGCAGCTTATTGAGTATGAGATTGATAAAACCTTTACTTTTCTTTTCTCCATCCAGCCCCAAGGACTTTCCTAAGCTCCAGAACGACACATTTCTGCGAGCAGCACGAGGAGAAGAAACGGAGCATGTCCCAGTGTGGTGTATGAGACAGGCTGGACGATACCTACCAGGTACTGTGATCAGTACCTCTTTGGTTTCATGAATTACTGTTCTTTCCCTTACCAAAATTCAAAGAATATGCTTGCACCATCATTTTGTTTTTCTTTTGACTTCAGAAACATTTCTTTAAACAGTACAATTTTAGGACAAATTCAATAGCTGAATAACTAATCAGACACACTGTCCCCACAGTCAGCATTGTTTTGGTAAATCTCACTTGCAGAGTTTCGTGAGTCCAGAGCAGGAAAGGACTTCTTTGAGACATGCCGGTCACCAGAGGCCTGCTGTGAGCTGACTCTGCAGGTACACCTGTAGATTTTTTTGTTTTTGTTACTTGATATCTGACTGTAGCTGGTGATGAATAGACACTTTTAATACCCTGATATAACTTCTAGTAGTGTGCTGGGGTAATGCAGTGATGAATTCATAACACTGATGACATCAACACAAGACAAGTCTCCCTCAGTGGGAAATAAACAGACTTCTAGATTATGTTTACTTGTAACAGCTGATGGGTTATTTTGACTTTAACCTCTAGAGTCCTGAGCTTTGGTTTCATATGCATTTTAATTTTTTCCTATCTATTTGGGATTATTGGGACATGATAAGTATAAAATCCAAGTATGGTCTTTGAACAGGAAGTCATTTTTGAGAAAAATGATGTCCTCATATGGGGACATTGGGTTTATTTTAATGCGTAATACAATAAAATTACTGGTGTTTGAGACAGAACAAAACTATGCCAGAACATGGCTGTGCACACAATATTTGCAACACATTACAGAATAAACATAGCTGTGCAAAAACAAAATTTGCTAACAATATTTGCAACACATCACAGTACAAAACTATTCCAGAAAATGGCTGTGCACATATTTGCATCACATTAGAGAATAAATCTATGCCAGAACATAGCTGTGCAAAAACAAAATTTGCTAACAATATTTGCAACACATCACAGTACAAATCTATGCCAGAACATGACTGTGCACACAGTAATTGCAACACATTGCAGACTGATGACTACATGACTACATATTCCAAAAGTATGTTTTGTCTCAATTCATTTTGTGCAGAGAA